ATTGGGATCCATAACTGGAACCCCTACCACGCACCCACATGTTGCCATGCAAAACTGCTGCCGCCTCGTCCGCCACGGTAGCGTCAGATCCATCTCACTCCTCATTGACCCAATTAACACGGCAACCTGAGCTGACTTCGTGGTTCTAGTGAGAATACCATCTCGTGCAATCAAACAAGCCAGACTGTAACGCCTAGCAGAGTGATGAGAGTGACAAGTGGTGTGCCAGTTAAGTGAAGCGGCCACAGTGCCTGGAAGCGAAGTGACTAGAACAGGTCAGTACATCTGAACGGCGTTGCAATCAGTGTGTCGTGAGTTTGGATGGAGTGAATATGCTGTGTGAGGGACGTTATCGGATCCACCTCTCGTCTTTCTCACCAACTGCCAGCGACGTCGAACAAGACGGAACTCGGTAAATGCGGTCACTGTGGAAGGTGCGGAATTGGATAACACATGGTGGGTGTGCACATGTGTGGTGTCGAAGTGTTGGCATTGGGCCCCGAGGGAGCCCTTCGATGGCTGTGAAAGATGGTGAGCACGGCGTTTGTTTTAACCAAAGTCACAGCTGACGGATGTCACTTCCTATTAGTCCGTTTGAAGGTCATTACGCGAAATTCAAATTAAAGTTGGATGCTAGTGGCTCAGTAAAACATGGAACAGTATAAAAACGATCCATTTTAAACAATAAGTTTATGAACACTAGTGTCAGATTGGGTTTTCAAAAAAATCGATTGCAATTTTCTTTCACTCCATGTTGAAAAATGACGTTCTGGTCCATCTTCTCAAATCGATGGTGAATAATTCAATGTCGCACGCGTGTTTCAAACTTTCCAATCAACAAATGCCGTGTTGCGTACGATTTCTCGCTAGTAAACTTGGCAAGAGGAAGGCGGAAGCTGTCGACTATTTGGTTTTTTAAATTTTAGGAATCTAAAATTCTGAAAATCATTATATGCGTTTTCTCAATCACACGAAATGCCTGAAATCCCCCAAGTATGATAGATCGCACGTCTGGGTTGCGACATTTTCATAGATCAAAGAGATCTTCTGTGCTCACTATATGTTTTGAACTCGAAAAAAGTCAAAAGAGAAACGCCCAACACCGACGTACCCGCTGGGCAAACCAGGATGTGGCACCATCTGCGAAGGCACCAAGGTGCCCATTGGCGGACGTCCCATAAAAGGACTGCCTCCCTTCGTGCCACGAAGTTCCTGAAATGCCGGTGGAGGAGGAGGTGGCGGTGGCGGCGGTGGCGGTGGAAGACGATGAGGAGGGGGCAGCGGTGGCTGGGGGTGGCATCGGTGCAGTCCACACGGGGATCCCGCGTTCAGGCAAGCCATGCACATTGCACCCTGCTGTGGATACCCTGTTGCATATCCGGCGTACCCTCTTCCGAGGGCGTAGCCGGGTGTGGGCGATAGCCGACCTTCACACTCCTCCGATCGAAGCCGGGTGTCGATGGAGCCGTCCTCGGGATAGAGCAGTGGTGGCGGCGTCTCCGCGATCTGGTTGTAGGGAAGAAATGGCGATGAGGTGGACCGTGCAGCATCCAGACTGGTGTACGTCTTACAGTCCCAGTAGGGGGCCACCTCGTGGGGTTGAGCTGCAGCTTGCGGGTGGGAAGATGCGAATAGGGGGTGAACAGATTCTGGGGGGACGGGATAGTCCATGACCGGTGGGGCCTGAGGATGCACCTAAACAGCAAAATCAACCCAAGTAGCCAATCAGTTTGCGTGTTTCCCCTAAACTACACTGGTAGCAGGTAGCGCTACTTCTATGATGTCGGTGATATAAATAAAAGTCAGCAATTAACGCTAGCAAACCACACCCCAATTGGAGAAATGGCATGCGCACTCCTGTCTCTTGGCCATAAGTACTGGGTTCGACCCCTGGAACATTAATTGGGGCTTTTGAAGTGACGTCCACGGCCGGCAGTGTTTGTCTTTGACGACGCATGTGTCCCCTGATTCTATTCCAGCTGCCTTAGTGAGATTCCTTCTAAACACACGAGGCAATGAGGCGGCTCAAAATCAGCAGAAATGCCGGCAACAGCGAGGTCTAATTTTAATTTTCTTCCCCCGGGCTATTTTAGGGGCAATGCTTCGCGCGGTGGCTTCGTGAAAAGGCACGACTAGTCAGACAACAACTGTTCTGGTGACTGTTTACCTGTCGTCTCAGTCGATAGGCGCACAGACGCACACACCGCGGAAGCTTGAAGTCAAAATTAAACGTGGCTGTGGCCGTAATGCAATGCCTCGCCTCCATCTAGCCTATCTGTCTCGCATTGTGGAGTAGTCTGTGACGTGTCAAACCACACGCTTGCTCCACGGGCCTGCCGACTGCACGTGCGACCACTGATGCCACATCTGACCCGTTGGTGCTGTGGAATCGTGCACTTCTGAGCCTGCCGTGGCGTGGATGTGTGGATTTCCAACGGTCTGGGTGTGTGGTTAACCACTCCTGAAAGCTCGCATTACCGCAGTGGCCAGCAATCCGCGTTCTCGTCACTGCGAGGGCAACGCACACACACAGCTGGCAGGCGCGCGATAAACGATTATATTAACTTTTGTCACCCCATCACAAGGAGGCGTGTGTGTGTGTGTGTGTGTGTGTGAAGGGGTGAGGAGTTGCATGGGAGAAGGGGCAAGCGGGGGGAGGGGTGAGCGGGCTTTTCCCGTCCCAGCTTCTGCGAGTGGGCGCAACAACTGTCGCGAGGGCGTTAGATTTGATGGCAGGTAGTCAGGTGTTATCGCGCACGCGCGGATGTGCGCGTGTGTGCCATCGCGCCGCGGAGGGGACGTGCGCGTGCGGCGTTAGTAACCGCGAGTGCGTTTGCGTTGTGTAGGGGTAGCGTCACCCATCGGTTAGCTTTTGATGGCAGCTTGTGAGCTCAGGCCGAACCTCCGACCACCACTACCATCATCATCATCTGCCAGTGCCTTTGAAGACGTGGTTGTTAAGTATCACCACGCGCACACGCGCGACTCTGTGACTTGCTGGCTGTTGCTGGTCACCTCGCAAACGCTCGAAGTAACTGGAACCACTCTGCCTTCACGACGTCCAGTCTAGACTCCAAAATCGCCCATTTGGCCATGCCCACGATTAAATCTTTGTGGAACACTGGCGACACCTCCAGCTTCAACTCTACGAACGAGAATTCAAAACTGGGAGGTGCTTCAAGATACAACTTCCCTTGAAATCTCAAAAGGGAACCGTGATTCCTATTATAAAAGAGAGCTTCCTCGTGGAGTGGGCTGGCCAAATTTCTCTAGATAGACACTGGCTTCTGGGTAATTGATCATGAAGTGACCCCTAAACTAGTTACCAACCCCAGCTGTCAAGCGAGAGGGTCTGTGTTCGACCCCGTCACTGCCCACCGAACATTGCATTAGGAAGTTGTCGAAGCAAATTTAAGACAAAATTTGGTATAAGATTATCGCTGGCAGAGACTTGGACGAATCTCGCATCAACACAATCCAGACTCCTTCAAATCCGGTAGTCGGTATGTTCAGGAAGCTGGTTCAAACCCCGGGTGGGAACCTTTCCGAGCCAATGAGGTCTCAGCTGACGACGCCTACTCTATCCATGTCCGAAATGTCGCTCGTCCACCGGTTGAATAACACTTGCGGTCGACTGTATGCACGCTGCATGCAACATGCGGTTTGAGAGTTGCCAGGGCGAGGCGAGCTGTAGCCCATCCCGAACAAAAAGAGTGGCGGGAGGGTTTGAACGCCGCTGCGACAGCTGTCTGATACGTCGATTTGGGTGGTCTCGCCTTGCCTCCGTCTGCCTCGGTGGTGAAGAGCCGAATTTTTGTGTGTGTGTGCGTGCGTTCATTTGAAGCGAGACCACCCACAAGAACGAGGCGGTGGAGGTGGTGGAGAGACGCGGTGGTCTGCTGCTTGAGGCTCCATACCTCCCCCTCCCCCCTTCTCCTTTACATTTTTTCCTCACTTTTCGGTGATGGCGAGAGAGAGAGAGGAGTTATTAAAAAGGCCCCACAGATAGACACCAACTGCTGCTATCTGCCTGAAATTGTTACTTCCACCATCAATAGCCCTTATTACTCTTCCACGCCCTGAAATTAATGCCTCTGCCTAATTGGACCCTGGCCGCGAATGGTCGTTTGTTGAGTGGTTGTGCTGAATTTGCCTATCCTCACTGATCCCTCGATCGTGGGTTGTTGATGCTGCTGCTGATGATGATGACGATGATGAGAAGGAGGAGGTGTAGGAGGGCAGCGACCGGGAAGCCTAAGCAGGCTCTGAAGTCCCAGCTTGAATCCATCCGATCAACAAATGATGCGCCTCCCCAACGCCCTGTGCGCAATTTAACCCTTTTTAATTTTGACGCATTTTTCGTGAGGTACCGTCAATACTGTCACAGGCGTTGTTTCCATCACCACTGTGTGCCTTTAGATAGTTTTCTCCGCCTGCGAGACATCTGTCTGCCGTGTTGATGGAAATCAGCTGATTGAACCTAACCTTGAGCCCCGTCCCAAGGCCATGTTTGTTTAGTCGCATAGGTGTGCGATTCCAGGCGCGGTTATTTGTGTGTTTAGGACGCTTCAGCATGCGCCTAGCCGTGCGGAGACACGCAAACCCAATTTCGCCCGCTCAAACACAAGTGCAAGCGTGCATTTGGCAACTGTTGGTTTGCGTCACTGTTGGCGCGCATGCCAGAAAGTATTCTCATTAGCACTGGAAAAACCACGTTGTCGAGTTTGCCAATCCACGAAAAACCCACCACCATTTGTGGAAGTGGGGTGCGGTTTCCACCCAATGCGATATTTACGAAAACCGCGTCCGGAGAGAGTCGGTGGCGTTTGTTTTAAAAGCGCGGCGCCTTACACGAACACTTCTCATTAAAACAACAACTGATGAAAATGTCCACATCTCACCGCACCGAATTGAGAACCCATTTGATACCCGAAAAGCACTTTCATAAAACAATCAGCTTGGAGTAGTGAAGTTTACTTGCTAGTAGAGTGCACAAGGCTAAAATTATCACCTCGCATTGTTTGTGTCGGGTAGTCAAATGTAGGTGCAAGTTCGTGCGTGCGCGTAAGGCCAAAATTCTCACACAAAACCTACTTTTGTTAGTGATTTGTGTACTTTAAGGTGGGCTACAAAAACCCACCGTCCCACACACACACACACTGGTGAACGTTCTTCCTGATGATTTAATTGCCAATTCTTTGTTACACACGCACACACACACGTACACACTCACATTTTCAAATATACCACTGGGATGCCAGTCGACAAATTCATTTGTGACTTGGACCCAATCTAGCCAATCACCGCAAAACTTGTTCGCGGTTTGTTTAAACTCAACCAACCACTCACAGAGTCGAGTCGGCTGTTTGTTGACTCCACAATTTTCGTCAATTTCGACAACATCCTTTATCCCTAGATATCAAGTTCTACAGCAGGCTGGTTTCCTAGAAGCAGAGGTGGCCATGAACTTCAAAAACGCCCATTCTAATCTCGGACAAGGTCATGATCATCCTAGGGGAGTTCTACAAGATCTGTTGGTGGAATTCTCACCAAAAAGTACTTGTCTGAGAGACATTCGAGACAAGAAGTGGCTTCTACCACTTGGGATGCACATGCAATCGCATTCTAGCGTCGAAAACCAATGACTAACTCAATGCATAACCCCTATGCATTGACTCGATCGGTTTATACTTGTGGCATTTCGAAATAGCGCTTATCACGCTGCCAGAGATTTCAAATTGGCCCCAAGGTCAAGTGCGAATTAAAACAAAAAGCAGATTTGTATTAACACACCATGTTGCTAACGGGGCTGTGAGACGGTCCTTGTCTGAATTTAGTAACTCCCAGCTATTGATTAGATGGTCTTTACTGCCTTAAATCAGCCAGGGCCACAGCGTCATCTTCAACTAAGACTTACTTCATTCAAAAATATCCCTTGGCGTGGGGGAGGAGGGGGGGTGAGGGCGGTGCATCGGTGGGAGAGCAACTGTTGGGCTTTACTCTGTCGTTGGCGTGCGCGTGTGTTTGCGGATGGGAATATATTCATAATTCTAATTACCCATGGTGCACATACTTCTCACACTCCACGGAATTACCCACGGTCGAGTGTCGTTTGGGACCGATTATCCCATTGGCTGTGGCTTCAAGACCTGACAGTTTCGCAGCCTCGCACACGCCAAAATCCAGCCGAATGTTCAGCCGACGGGACACTAATTGTCAAGAGAGACTGCGCCTACACACTCCACAATTGGTGTACCGCCTGTCGTTAAGCCACTCGTGGAAATGCGTGTGCCCTATGCGTTCCACATCACAGCAAACCAATTGCAATGTGTGGACACCCTGCCTGGCGTTTTCGTAGCTTGTGGAGCTACCGAAACGGTTCCAATGGAAGCTGAGAGGGGTTCGAGTCTTACCTTCCCCCCCCACTGGATTTGGTTCAGGAGACCCTTCCATCACCCTACTGTGTAATCTGATTGGCTGAGGCAAGATGCTCACAGGACGCGCCATCGGTACAAACCAAGTTAGTTTAAACAACTAACTTCCTAAAAAAGATGAAAGCCTCCACACGAAGTAAGCATGAGTGCAAGCGAATTCAACAGTGCTCCATAACCGTAGATGGCAATTTATAGCACATTAGACGGCTAAACTGAAATCATGGAACACCGATTATTTGTCAACATGGAAAGTGATGCCACAATTAATTTACAGAGCCAAGTGAAAGCTAAATTAATCAAAAATGCATGCGGAAGTGAAAGAGTTCGAGGTTGTTTTAATCCACAATGGATTTTGGCGCGTCGTAATCGCATTTTTGAACTAGCTGAATGGAGCATGGAAAACGTGGGCTCTGCTTTGCCAACCTCGGCGCAGACGTGATGCTCACTACAGCGACGATGGAAATTTCTCACACAGGCCCTTCACCAACGACCCTTACACCAACTTTTACTCAGTCTGACACTTAAATTATCAAAATTTTCTGGGTAATATGATGCCAGGAAATTACTTTTGCACGGCGAAATTTCCAGAATGTCACCAAACTGGTAGGCCGTTAGGCGTGAAGAGTCAAATTTGACGACTCGACAAAATTCGTTTTTGAACAAAAGATGATCCAACTTGTCATGTTCTGCATCTGGTCCGTTTTGGAGACGCATTTACAATATTACTGGTATCACATTCAGCAACATTAAATCCGAATATACTCAAAGCGCCTAAACAATTTACCCCAGTTTGTTCATTCGATCAAATCCCAGAGCTACGCGTCTTTTCATTGGTCGAATACACTGACAAACATTCCATCACCGTGTTTAGACTACAGATAACCCACGCACATCTGAATCACGTTCACGCAAGTCGATATCAAAATAATCGATAAAAAATTTCGAATTCTAGATGTTTCCTTTCCGATCACAGAAAGCTCATATTCCACGGACCTAAGCATTCCGTCTAGCCGACGTTGAACACCTTAGTTTGTGGACTGTCTGACCGTGAATCTTGGCCAGACGTCAGCAAATCCCTTCCGTTTGGGGCTCTAAGACGTTTGGATGACTTTATCCAAGTGAAGCACTTGCCTGTTACACAGAATGGCGGTGTGCATGTGTGCTGGGAAGGTAGAGAAGCCGGTTTTTATGGATGCAATTAATCTTCACCCTACAGTCATCCAACTATCCCGACAGACTAATGAAAAACCCACATCACAAGGTGTCGTGGTGTCCCACAAGTCTAGTCTCTGGTGTGCTTCCAATTCAAGCCCCAACGACTATCGATCGGCGACGGTAGATCTACACTTGCCACAGCCCTAAGTTTGGTGCAGTCACTTAAATCTGATTAAACCTATCGCAGATTTCAGACAGCCAAGGTGTCTGGTGGTCCGCTTGATGTGCCAGCCGTCGGCGTGGCAGTCTGGAGTTCCAGAATTTAATAAGTTGGACTAAGGTCTGGACTTTGAGGAATGCAGACGTCACCACAATGAATGCCCTATAAAGTGTAAGCTGAATTTCACCCAATTGGAGAACGTCGGCATGACAGGGGGGAGGTGATAGTGAGGTTCGTGCTTATCGTGCCGAGATATCTATGACAAATAATTCGTGAGTTTGACCCGGCACGTCCGACCGTATTGTGCTCTGGGTCACCAACGTGCTTGTGTTTCGATGTCACCACAACGCAAACCGAGTTTGTCTTCGGCCCTAGGTTCCACGTGGAAGTGTTCTGCAAATGCGTACTCTGGGACCCACGGCGAACCGTACAATCTTATACAGTCTGGAGGGGATTTGTATGGTCAAATTTGCCACAAAATCCAACGAATCGTTACTGGCATATTCGAAGCGGTTATCAGTACCCTTCATCATTGCATTTACGAGAATAATATATCGAGAAATGCCACAGAACCGGCACATGCCAGCAGGGTGAGTATAACTCACCAGCATACAGGTGATCAATAAACCAATATAATCGAACCAAGCAATAAAGGCACCGCCATCGATTTCTGAATAACCGTTGATTTCAACACCTAATTTTAAATCATCCGTGAATATTGATTAGCTTTGTTTAAATCAGGCACCAGCCCAATTTTACAAGGTCAAAATCGTTTAGCACAACGACCAGGTTAAGGCTCTTTACATCGACGTATCAGATTCCACTAAGTTCGTAATGTCCCAGCAATCACCATTAAATAAATTACATTTCTCACTACAACGTATTCGATCCAAGGATCGGGCAATCACAACCTCTAAACTGCCATCATCGATTTATCGACTTTTCCCTCCCCAAAAAGCATGATCCGATCCAATATATTTTGAAATTTTATTTACCGCTGTTCCGGAAAATTTCACGAACGTAGAAAATTTAAAAAACACGAATGACAGCATTCAGACAACCGGGGAAGTGTCTACACTATGACAAAAACGTATTTAGCTGTGATTTGTAAAAAAAGCCATTAAATCCTAATCCAGAGTGAAAGATCCATGTCGACGTCAATAATCAATGTCACTGGCTCTTGACCAATCAGCGAAAAAATGCAACTCAAGTAGATTATTGGAAATCGATGTAAACCGAGTCATAGAGGTATTGTGATGTAATGAATGACTGACTAAGCAGGAAACAAGACTTACGCTGCCTGATTCCGGTGAAAGACTCTGATATCCACTCCTGTGTGTCAAATAGTCCTGTTCGCCATGACCCGTAGGGTAACCAAACGTAGTCATATCTCGTACACACACGCACGCGCACCAACGGTCGAGATCTCGTCAGAATTGCCTTTTCGACAAAAATGGTGAAAATACAAAAGAAGATTTTTCCGAGATCGTGTGTGAGGGGTATCCGACGCCACAGGAATTTGTGAAGTGTTCGTGGCCGATGCTCCCTGCGTCGGAGGTGCGAGCGCACTCACGTGCGCGCTCGTCTCCTATTGGTCGAGACGTGGACAGTTCGGCGCGTGCAAGCTTCGCGCACACAGTTTTTGGCGCTTTCCGATTGGCCAACGGCAGAACCACATGCAGACATGAACAAGGCGACGTGCACCAGGATTACTTCTTTTTTCGGCAGTGAATACCAGGGATACATTTCTTTAATTACCGCCTACAAACTCGTTTGGCTGATTTAAACATTTAACCTCGGTTTCTTATTGATGCTGACGTTTATAGCGGAATTTGTTTAAGTGAACTCGAAAAGAATTCCGGTAGGTTAATTAACAAGTCGAAGATGGAAGTTGGAAGAAACAAGGCATCGATAAATTAAGTTTAGTTTGCGTAAATCGAACGCGTATTATTTGTTTAACTAACTTAACAGCTGTGTTACCCTTAGGAGGTAATTGAATCTGTTGGTGTAGGGCCTAATTGAATAAGGAGTAGTACGACATCACCATTTTACCAGTCTAACCCTGCTTTTCCGAGAAAGCAAGAAATACCCACGACTCACAATTGGACACGCTTTTTGTCTGGTATTGATTGCTCAACAGATTGCACGTGTCAGATTTGAACTTTTAAAAAAATCTTGCTGTGGGACTGTGTACTCACCTTTGACCAATCAGGTTCTGCTCCACCTAGTTAATTCGATGATGACCGATTCAAGGTCACAGCTGAACCAATTCGAGAGATTTACGTAGTAGTTTTAAGTGTGTTTCACATTTAACAAGTGAATGCCGCCTCACGTGTCTTCGTATTTGGGCTCCACAAGAATTGAAGGAGACGCATTCGATGCAGCCAATCACTTTTCGCGATGTACATCTCAAACGCAGTGAAAGTGTCCCTTTCTCTTTCACTCTCTCCCTTTCTATCGTACTTGAAAGCAATAATTAATAGTATGCCTTCTACCACAGTATCAGTTGAATTAAGTGATAGCGAAGCACGTCAAAGGTGGATCGTGATGTCAATTCAGTGGGCCTACGAATTTGATGTGTACTTAGGGCTGCCTCCCAAAAACCAAACGACCACCCTAATCAACCAATGATGATCGATAGAGCCAAAAACCAATGAAAAGCAGCTGGAATCGATAAAGCGATAATCAATCTCTTTCTACCCGAACAGACATACATTCAAAACCCCGCATTAGTACTGTCCACTTCAAAGTTCGCACTGGTCGCTCAAAGGCTGGAAATTTCGTCGGTAACGGTTGTGCTAAACCGCTTTTCGCCTAGTTTTAACCAATAAAAAGCACAGAATCACAAGAATGCGGTACTGGTTTTCTGCGCTAACAAGCAGGGTTTTTTTGACAACATCAGAGCGATTTTCTGGAGTTGAGGGAAATTTCCGTGCTTAGCCGTGTTCCCAAATACCCCTGGTATCGATTGATTTCGGGCGCACCCTTGCTGGGCAGACTAGCCCGCGGAAATTGCCCTTCCTCGTGCCTTCACAACAAACCAGCGCTCTCTCTGCTTCCAGCTTGAATCGAAGTTCTGTCGGCGTTTCAAGCACACCGCTTAATCGATGCCTGGCTGTCGTGTGCCGCAGATTCCCCGCGATGTGAAATGCGCAGACTTTCAAGCTGAGAATGCTTAATGAATTGAAACGTCTTTGACAAAATTATAAAAATTTCCTCATTTTTTACACGAGGTCCTTCTCAGTGTGTTCGCGTGTGTGTGTGCCGTTTCGTGTGTTTTGGCCCCTCGTCCCCCCCCCCCCTCCAAAGATCAACATATCGATGTCGGAAGGGGGAGAAGAATGGGTGGGTGGGTGGCCGAGTCTCGCCGAGAGGCACGTTCTGTTAAAAAACCGAAGGTGTTAGATAAGCGCACAAGAATTATTTTCTTTATTATATCCACCCACCCCTTCAAGAGATCGCTGTTTTTTTATTCAACAATCAAACAGATCAATGGCTGGAGGTAATTCATGGCCCTCACAGCAAGCAGCATCCACCGAAGGAAGTCTGGAGTGGGTTCCAGCACTTCCGTCGATGCCCTCGCAGCGGTTGGAAGCACCACGACGGCTTGAGAGCCGAATCGCGGTGAAAAAGGTGCATTCGAGCGTCATGTTTCGTACGGTCGAATGACACGCTAATGCAATTAGCGAACCATGTTCTTGGCGGAGAACAAGGAGGCGGCTAAAGTGAGACTACTATGAAATTCATCCACCAAACCAGCTGTCCTGGACATTAACTAAACTCCTGCTTCCCTTCTGTCCTCGTTCCGAGTAGCCGCTGTGCAGAGCGAGGCAGTTTGACCCCTGGATTTGTACTTTTATCACTCGAACTGTGATTCACCAATCAGAATAAGCGTGTCATGAGTACAAGTTTGTACATCACATATTTTCCGCTGCAGTTCATGAAACGGGTCTAGTAACGTCGGAATTAGCATCTAGTGCGACGTTTTAATTTACCGAAAGAGGAAGGACACAGGATTAAACAGGCAGTGCGCGCAACGTAACTCCCCCCAGCTTGCGAACACGATGTCAGTTAATTGAAGAAGTCGTGTGCCCGGCGCACAAGCAACTGGCGCCTTGCATGGAAGCACCCAAAAGAAGTTATCGATTTTTTGACAACTGATCACCTTAACAGCTGATCGCTTTACTGTTCTTTGATTTTCTCTCTGGGTTTTAAAGTGGCGGACTGCGATCGATAAATTGATCAGGCGAACCCAAGTGTTTCCTTATTGGGAGTCTTCGAGGTTCCGAAATCACGGTGAGTAACCGATTGATAGGGATTTTGAAATTCTGAAATTTGGGGATTCCCAGCCAATAATTACTTCTGAAGGAAAAAAGGCATTAGTGTTTCAAATCGCAATAAAACGATGCTTAAGCGGATTAAACTGCAATCAAACACTTGGTAGCATGGTGAGCTACAGGTGTGTAGGTTGAGTAATGGTCGTCTCATCAATAGGTGTCATTAAAAAAATGTTTTTTAAATGGGGATTGATTCAACATGCCATCTGTGTCTGCTAATGCCCCAAAACACTTCTCCTTTACACAAGTTAAATTGCCTAGTTAGCGAACAACCTTCCACAGATCACAAGTTGCCCAAAGGAGCCCAATTTGAGATCGATATTCCAGTCCGAACCTCCAATTTCATGTGATCTCATTTCTGAACAAATCAGCATTTCGCTTTTTGATCTGTTTTAAAAAATATATATGTCATGGCGTTTATCCAGAACCGGTTGTTCATTTGAGTTGTGAGTTGGAGATGGTTAAAGCGCGTGTCCCAATGTCCAAAAAATCAATAATCAATTGCTGAGCCTCACTCATGAATGCGAGAAAACTGCGTGACGATCGATCGACAGCACGTGGCAGGGCTTCACGCGTGTCATTAATTGAGTCAGTGAATTAAAACAATACCTTGCGTTATTTTTTTTTTCAATGATACAAGTTACAATCTGGCGCAGAGTGTAGGAGGCCCAATTTTCGAAAAAGGTGGATCGCAGACAGTTGGCGGTTTGCTACTTCCACTGATAAAATCGCTTTCCAATTGACAGACTAACCCAATTACCTCCGCTTGCCTGAGCAGTTGGCGTTGCATGCGACGGCTGCACTGGCCTTTCGCCGCTAGATCGGCACTGGTGATAACCGTTTTCACTCGACCTGCCACCGGTAATTAGCCTGCGACGGTTAATTTTGCCGTAATCTAGCACATGGCAGTTTCGTGTCCACTGAAGGGGACTATAAGCAGCTGCATTATCTCGACCGCGGTCAGATAAGTGACCTGAAGGAGGTCCCATTCTGATTGGCTGATGCGTGCTACAAGCCGTCATTCCCAATTGTGCGGCAGCCACAGTGAATGTAGCCTTTTCATAGAACAGCGGAATAGGTGATTAATTGTCTTGATCGCGAGACTGTCGCAGACTTCTCCTTCTTCATCTTCTTCCTTTTCCACCACCTCCTCCTCCTCCGGGCATAAAAAAGATGATTAATTAGGACTGCGGTGTAACACGAGGCAAATCCAATCATGAGAGAGACTGTGATAGGAATATACACGACAGACGACAGCTCGACACTACGCGGTTAACAAGTGGGGCAGGAGGACGCGCTGGTGGTGGTGGTGGTGGTGGTGGTGGGGTACGTGGAGGAGGAGGAGAGGGAGCGTAAGAGGTAGCACCGCGGTAATCCCGTCGACTGGCTTAATTAGGCAAAGCATGTTAGTACATGCAGGAGAGTATGGAAGCTTGTTGTCCACGCGACAAACATAATTTAGCCTAGGAGCAAGCAATCAGACATGTGAGTTTTATTTTGCGAAGTTCATTTTGGAGGATCTGCGTCGGTGGTTCGTTGACGAGATCCTGAAACCATCTCAGCCAACACTCTCCCTGAAAGAATTCATAACTCCCGGTACTGGAGCCAGTTTACTGAAACAAAAATCAACACACCACCACCTCGCAACACACCTACCGTC